AGAGAACATGATGAGAAATGACAGACAGAGCCCCAGCACCGTGCCAGGCTGCCCAGGGGCTGGATGCCAGCCTAGGCGCGTCGGGACAGACAGCCATCAGCTCGCGGATGCGGGGCCCAGCAGGGGCGGTTAGAAGTCTGGAGGGGTTCCAATGCGGACTCCCAGCTATATGTCAAGATGATGAAGGGTTTATTCCCTCTCAGTATTTTAATGTCCCCAAAACACTGCACTTTAAATAAAAGCTGTGCGCAGGGCAGGGACACGTTACGAAGGGGTCGCTACGAGAAGGGAACGGGCGCCGGCTCACCCTGGCAATGCCCTCAGATGCCAGTTTTCCTGGAGCCCTGACAGAAGAAAAGGACCAGAGCGGGCTCCTGCGAGGAAGGTGGCCCTCTGGACGAGCTGTCCGCCCGGTGGACGGGCATAACCTCAAGCAGGAGCGTTCTGCTCCACTAAGGACCACCGTGCTCCACCTTCCGTTTTCCTGTTTGCCCAGACACCTGCCCGAGGCGTCCCGCGCAGAGCCGGACATGGCGTCCCCCGACCGCACATGAGGACAGGCTCCGCTGGCTGCAGCTCGCTCACTGGCAGCGGTGAATTAGCACCTGGCCAATCCTATGGCCTCGAGTGACACACAGCTCTGTATCAGCCTGCCACCATGGCCCAGACTCGCTGGCCCTGGCACGCACAGTGCTGGCTCGCTCACCCTCCGCTTACGCTACCTGCCAACAGCAGCCCTGGCGCCCTGCCACCCGCTGAAGACCAGGGTGACCGTCTGAAGACAGAACATGCATCACCCACCAACCTGGCTGGGCTGCTTCAGGTCTGTAAACCCCTCAGGTGTCCACTGCGTGCGGCACCTATCGCAGATACGACAGCCTACCCTCCTGACCTATTGTGACACGCTAAGTGTCCCCGGGCTGTGAGACAGTTAGGTCGCTTCCAGGTTTTTGCTAATACTGCATTCGCATGAAGTATTTTGTGCACAGAGGTGTTTGCTTAAGAGAGTCTGTAAAGTTAATTAAGCAGAATTCCTAAATTATAAAAACAACAGTAAAAGCGATAGCAGCCAACACTTAGATGCTATACAAGTACAGTTCTGAGGACTTTGTTTTTCTTCCTTTAATCCTCACAAAACTTACTGCAGAATGCGGAGGAGGCGGCAGGACATGAGGCAGGTACTGTTATTTTCTTGATTTTACAGCAAAAATGGAGGGAGTGGGAGATAAGGTTCTTGCCCAAGGCCACGTAGATAGGAAGCAGCAAGGCTGGAATCCTCCCCAGAAGCTTTCGACCACAGTTCCTGCTGTTCCCCACTATCATCACTGCCTCCCCTCAAATTATGACAACTATTGCCATTATGGAGAGCATCCCGCGTGCCACAGACCAGGCTAAGAAACTTACAAATGCCACCTGTTTAATCCTCACCACAACCTGGGAGGCAGGCGGATCTGTGTCCCCACTTCACAAGGGGGGAACGGGGGCTCAGAGACAGGCAGAGGCTGCCCAAGCGTCACAGCGAGCCACAGACAGAACCGCACTGGCGCCCCATCTTTGGCCATCTGACACCAAGGCCATCTGACACCAAGGCACAGGCCTGACCAGCAAGCTGTGCCCTAGGGCTGTGGCTCTGTGGTATTTCTGCTGCTCACAATGTCACCAACACTGTGTCACCGATGTCACAAAAATTATGCAGAAGCGCTTGGTGAACGGTAAGTGACACTGAGTTTATTCTGGTTTCCTGACTCCGGCCAAGATGACCACCCTTTCGTCTTTGATTTACTCTCTCTGTGAGCTTCTCCTCGTGTGGACTGTCATCATATCTGTCCCCTACTTACCATCAGGTCCCCAAGGGGCTCCCGATATACAGAAGCTCCAGACTACAGACCGAGGAAGCCAAGACGAGCGGTCTACCCTGCCTGGCACCCCACCTGCACCTCCACCCCCAACTAGAAGTCTCGAGAGGGCACTTACTTATTATGGGGCAGCCTGGAGCACAAGGTTCTCAGGTCATCTGAAAGCAAGGAGACACACGATTAAGGAACAGACTGGAGACAGGAGAAGAAATGCCCGGACGCTCGAGATGCTAGCGAGATCCTAACGGTGCCTGACGCCACAATCTCCTAACGTCGTTCAGAAACTGTTTTCTCTTTATCTCCAGTCTTTGCTTTAACGAACTAGTCCCCAAACAGACACATCCCTGAGGACAGGGGTGGCTCCACGACAGTCTGCCCCGGATGGCGGGGGAGGGGCCCAGAGGCAGGGTCCTCACCTCGCACAGCAGACGCCCACGAGAAGCGGGAAACCCAGTGACTGCAGCTTGGGGCCACAGGCAGCTTCTGGGAGCCAATGGTTAAAAAGCGCACACGGGGGTGTCACTCACACCAGCTCCTTCTCCTGGGAGCTCGTGCACTGAAATGCAGAACTGAGGAACCCTCAAAACAGGCGACAGGAATGTTTTATGCAATGAAGCCTGTGCGTTTTATTGCACGTAAATTATGCCTCGATAAAAAAAGACAGCAGAAAAAGAAGATTCCTTACGAGAATATTAAGAGTATTAAGCTATTATCTGCACTCTGGAGGAGTCTCCGGTCCAGGGCAAAACAGCGAAGAGACACACCAACGTCATGGTCACAGTGCCCTGCCTGCGTACGTCCTGTGATGCCCCCCGCTTCCCCCATGTTCACTAAGAGGAAAGAAGTCCTAAAAGAGGCAGAAAACAGTATTTGTCCAGGAGCCCGACAGTCTCTCAAACAGGTGGTGGTATCCCCACCCCCGGGAAGGCCAGGGCAGGAAATCACCCACCTCTTGTACACAGCAGGGCACCAGAGGCCATGGCCACTTGCAAAGCCTGTGCGAGTCGGTCCAGAGAGAGCTCGATCTCCTGGGAAGCGTTGAGGGGGTTCAGTTCATCCGCCAATCTGTTGATCTCCTCCACCAGCGGGACCATGTGGTCAAAAAGGATCAGCCCCAGGCGCCCATAAAGATTCTTCTCAGTTAGGTGCACCTGGAGCATCATCAGCACCTGCAGGATGCTGAGATGGAGTTTTGAGTACAAGAGGTGGGAGTCTCTGTCCATCCCTCCTGAGTCCTGTGCAGCTTTGCTGGTGACGTGGCCATTGGATAAGGAGGGCTTCTTTTTCCTTTTATAAGCCAGAGGGGCCTTCACACACCAGCGGATCAATCCAGTGAGTGGGGTGAGCTCTAAAAATCCTATCGGCAGATTTGCTGCAATTGGAGTATTTAAAAAAGTGATGAGAATCAATCTTGGGTCCTCAAAAATCCAGTTGACAATCATTTCAAGCAAGTCCAACGGTGGGATGAGATCGTCTGCAAAGACACAATCAGTTAGGAGGGTGTTCGGCCCCAGTTACAGGAGTGGATGGAGGGGACACAGACTGAGTTTGCAGCACTCGCCACCTGACAGTCAGGTTGCCTACTCCTTCGCTCGTCTACTTCCCGTCTCCTTCCCTAGAACAGCCCCTCCGTGAGGGCTGGGACTCCCGTCTTATTCCGTGTCCCATGCCCGGTGAGAGGACCGTCTGGCCAAGCCAGGGCTCAAGAACTGTGTTAACTCAACAATTCCCTAGAACTCCGTTATGTCTTGAAGAAAGATCAATATGTAATTTTAAACAAAATTCTACACTTTTTATGTCTGAAACTACCACCACGCTTCACTCCTTCCCTGTGACCCCCGGGTTTGGTGTGTCCTCCAGGGTACACGACAGCTCTGGTGGTCTTCAGGGGGCTGCTCAGAATCCAGTCAATGATCTGTCAGCTGCCAAGGGCCATCCCAGCCCCAAACCCGGGACCCTTGTCTACAGAACAGCCTGACCTCCTGTGACTCTTAGGAACTGGCCCGTTCTACGGCCTAGACAAAAAACAAAAAAAACAAATATTGATGTTTATTTTGGGCTTCCCATGTTCCAGGCACTGGTCTAATTCCTTTACACAGAGTAACACGTTTAATCCTCAAACAACTCCAGAGGAAACTGAGGCACAGTGATGCTAAAAAATTCCCTAGGATTCATCAAAAATACGTGGCGGGCTCACATCTGACCCCGGGTGGCCTGGCTCTTAACCATGAGGCTACACGGCCCATCCTGGGATCGGCGTGCAATGCCTTCAGGTGGCTCTGAATGGGAGTGGGTCCCCGGCCTCCTGTCTCTGGGGCTGTGCACCCCTTAGCTCGTGACAGAGCCCTGGCTGGGCTGCTGAGGTCCAGCTCCAAGCACAAGAGAGTGTGAGGTGAGAGACACACATGTTGCTGTAAGGCCCCTGACTGCTCTTTCTGAGGAGACGGGCCTTTTCCCCTGAGATTATGTCTAGCTATTGTTTTGATGTTAAGCCACTGCCCCCACTCCTAGCCCTTCTGTTACGAAATGATGGCAACCGTACGAAGCAGCGGTCCGTGACCCCTAGTCGGCAAAACCAACAGTGGGCAGCCCTGTGTCTGGTCCTTCATTCCCTGGAACACTACCATCTGGGAAGTGCCGGTCCTGTGCCCACTCCTCTGCCATGCTGCCCACCCCCACAATCTAAGCCGAGGCGCCTCCGAGGACCTGAAGGCAGGGTGTGCCTGTGCGCGTGT